CTGGATCTCATCTACTACAGAGTGCTAGTTTTTCAAGTGAAAATCTTTAGAACCTCCTTCTAGAGGCAATACTTTAAAAACAAAACAAAACAACTCTGTTGCTGGCTGCATACATTCTGAGGTTTAAAAAGAAATAAATCCACTGGAAACAGGGCCTGTGGGGATGAGATCCAGCTCAGCAGCATGTTTTGGAATGAACAGCCCTCTACCTGACAATTTGACTTGAGGACCTGCCCTAGGCATCACGTGCATAATTGCTTTTGTCTCTTGGGAAATTCTTTCTGCACAGATGGTCCAAAGGGGTTAGTTAAGTGTCTCACCTGCCTTACTGGAAAGAGATCTTCAGCAAAGGGGTGGGGCTTACTCTCTGAACACCACCTCCCTTGCTGTGAGTCCTCCCTGCACCATGTCAAGCTTTGTGGAGAGTCTACCAAACGCTGGGTGAAGTGGTGCTTCTTGCATGTTGGACACAAGCTTTTCTATTAAATTTCTATTGGTGCCATTTCCTAGTGGTTGATTTCTAGGTGAATACATCCTCACTCTGTGAGACTGGATCCCAGTCCCTCCCTCTCTGGTATCACTGTCAGCATCTCCATTCTGAATCACTGGTCTGTCCACACTTTGGTTACTTTAACATTTAACCCTTTCTGTCTCTGACTTCTTTTTGCTGGGAAGTAACTAGGAACATGAAACTCTGAACAACTTGAGCTCCTAAGGCTTTGTTGTCCAGTTAACTTATATATCATGGAATTACAGAGGCTGCTCTTTTTCAAAGGAGCCCTGTCTAAATCCTGACAAATATACTTAAGTCCTTGCTTGCAGTTAAAAGAAAATTAAATCCCAGCCTTAAATAATTTGACTGTGCAATGAAACTATTTATGTTAAAACTGAGTTCTTCCCTCTGAATGAATCTAAGGTTACGTTTGAATACCAATAAAACTGGGGCACATAAACATGGTACTTAATGCCACTGGGTGCATTTTATTTTAAATTAACAAATGTTCATTTGCTAGGTAGGTATACAATTTCTTCAAAAAAAAAAAGATGTAACACAGACATCAAGAGTCATTAACACAATACAACGATTTGCAAAAAGGGATTTGTTATTTCTAAACTTTAAGAAGTACACTACCAAGGACTTGGAAAGAATATCAAGCTCCAAGGCCAAAGAATCTACTGCATATTAATCTTCTTTACCCCCCCCCCAAAAAAAGTTGATTGGGATACTAAAGACAAAAATTAACCTGTTGTGTAACTAGGGGGAAATGCTTGGGAAAGTGCATGATATAGTAGAAGGATGTTACTCCAGGAAAAGAGATCTGCTGGTCCTGATTCTGTTACCAATGAGCACAGACATGTTAGCCAGGAATTCCAAGCCCCATTGTGCCTGAATTTTCCCATTTATAATAATAATGTTCCCCACCCTCTAGGATTTTTCCCATGTGAGAAACAGAATCTCAGAGTCATTTTGTAACTTAACCAAGATGGCAGAAGACAGAAAATGAGTTTGAAAAACTCCTTATAAATATTACTGGAGTTTTGCCTCCCCCCACAAAACTTTTTTTTCTTCTCTCTTTTTTTAAGAGATGGCCTGTGTGTATTATCACTCAGCTGCTATCCTTGAAGAAGAGAGAATGAACATGTTCTAACTTGCAGGAAGCTGAAAGTGACCATTAAAAATCTATATAGATGTAGAAATTCAGCTGCTGCTCTCTGTCATTTCATGTGAAAGCCTGACATTTAGTGTATTCTTAATTTAACATTCTTAATATGGGAGGGGAATTAGACAACAGACTGTCTGCCTTTAAGATGAGAAGTCCACTGGGTATGTAGGGAATCTATGATTTCATATTGTTGCCCTCAATTTTTCCTGACACGTATTTCGAAACTCTGTGCTGTTTCCTACTGTCACTGGTAGAATACAAGCGCATTCCTTTCTGTTCACGTTCTGCAGTGTCATCAGCCTCAGACCATGTGCTGAGACTGACTCAAAGCTTCTCCCAGGGAGAGATGGAGGAGGACTGTCTGGAGGCTATGGGAGATGGTGAGGCTGGGGACTATGCTGTTCTGAATCTCTCACCAAGTTCCAGCCCTGCAAAGTTCACTGGAAGATTGGAGTCCAGAAAAAAAAAAAAAAAAAAAAAAAAAAAAAAAAAAAAAAAAAGATTGGAGCCCAGCACATAGTCTCTAGGAATTAACTCCAAGGATCATAAATTTACTCTTCAGACATTTGCAGATTAGTCTGATTGGTTTAACAGGAGGAAGACGCTGCAGCATAGCAACTGTGCACAGATTACAAGGCTTTTGAAATACACATCTGCTACCTACCCACAAAAACGACACGTTCAATCACAAACCAGGCTGAAACCTTTCAGGTGGAGAGGGAAAGCTGGTGATGCACACAGTTAGAAAACAAAGTTCTTTCATTTGGAAAATAATTTTCAGTGAGGGAAAGTGCACCCCTGCTTAAGACCAACCATAATGAACTATTCTTCAGAGGGAGAGGGTGTGTGTGTGTGTGTGTGTGTGTGTGTGTATCCACTCACACACACATTAGTGGTATACTGCTTGCCTAGCACATGTAAGAATCCACATTTGGTCCCCTTTTCTTCCAGAAAAACAATAAAAACAACACACAAAACTTGAGGAGACAGTACAGCTAAGGGATACATTACTATAACTGCCTGCAGAAACAGCACAACTTTTCTCCAGCCTCCCATCCAGCATTTACAGAATGGATAGCCATTAAGATTTTTGGATCATACTGTCTTTCTTTGTGTGTGTTTCCTTTCTTTTCTTTTTTCCTCCTTAACAAATCAAATGCTTGGTTTGTTTTTGTTTTTGTTTTCTTTTAATGCAGGAAGAGTTGTAGCCCTCATATTTGTCTCCCAAGCAATATGCTATTAGGGGGTCAAACCCCATGTACGGCAAAAACAACCTTCATGGATAATAGTGATAAAACTTTATGGAATGCAGAAAACAACCAAAATATGTATTCTCAGATGACTGCATTAGGGCCAAGCCAATATTATTCCCACTTCACCCACGCACTGCATAGTCTAAAAATGTTGTCAGGCTGATAAGAATTTCCTGACTTACTCTTTCTTCCAATAGAAAATATAGGTCATCAAAATAAACTCTGACAGTAAAAGAATGGTAGAGACACTGTTGACTCTCCTTAATCCCTCAGCCAATAATAATCAAATAGTCTATTTACCAGAGAAAAATCTGAATATCAAATAAGCCAATTAGCCAGAGAAGTATGAAAGTTTCCATGTACACCTTCCAAACTAAATCCTTCCAAACTGAGCCAAATATCTAGTTACAGGATGCCGACGGAAGTTCAGAGTATAGCAGAAGCTGGGCATTGTGTAACTTCTCAACACAGATAGTTCAGACCCTTTTTGTGTCTTATTTTTAATTCATTTGTCAGCTTGTTGATAGTTTTAGCAAAAGAATGGAATTTGGGGTTGCAACTTATGAATATCACAAAATAAGGTAAAGTACTTAGAGTGAGTCCTCATTGAAAACTAGCTCTCACAGTTAGTAGTTTTTAAGTTATCTAATAAAGACTGATATTTTTAGCTGAAAGCGTATTTATATTGCTGATATCTACTATCAACTCCTACTTTAATGGAATTAATTCTATAATTCTATAAGAGATGTTACCCACAACTTCTACTATCCCTTGCTTTTTCAGAAGAGAAAGTTATCTCTCTGAATATTTAGAAACATCTCAGTCTGTTGCTCATTCCACATTCCAACTGATAATTGAAGGCCTCTACAGCATCAGAGATGAAGACAAATGAAGCAAAGGGTGCTTTATGCAGAACTGGTTGTTAGTAACAACCAAGGTCTCTTTGCCTTGCTTGAACATACAATACTACTATTTTGGATATGTCAAAGAAAGCATGAGTAACCAAAATGTTTTCAATTGTCACCCTTGACCACAAAATAGAAAAATGCTTGCCCATCTCTCCCATGAAAGCTCACTTTGCTTTGAAGTGGTAAAGCTGCCAAATATTAAAGAAAATAAAACAATTAATACTAGCAAGAAAGTGGGCTCTTCTGTCATTTGTCTCATTGGTCTTCATTAAGATGGGGCTGTTTAATGGTGACTCCTGGACTTGAACCCTTTCGGGGTTAGCTGAATTTGACAGCCACTACATTTTAAACAGAGAGCAATCTTCTCCGTTCCCAGCGAGTAGCCCTGTACTTCTAGAAAAGGGACAGAGGCAACGGAAAAATAGGGACTCAAGGGTCAGATTCCTACAAGGGCCAAACCATGAAGGCCAGAATATAACTACAGCTTCTAAGAAATGAAAATAAGACAATAAATTCCATAAATTGTTATTTTCTAACTATATCTGGCTGCATTTTTAAGTTTCAATGAAATCAGCCTGCTCTAATCGCCATAGTCCAAGGACTCTGATTTGGGCCAGTCCCTTGCCACATGCACGTTTTACTGTTTTTAAGGTAGTGATAACTAAATTTTGGTGCACTTGCTATGTGGCCACAGAGTACTACTCAAGGGTCCCTAGTGTCAAGTTTTCCAGTGTCTACTCTTCCTTGACACCCTCTAAAAGCCAGGTCCTTTTTACTGACATTTTCAGTGTCTCGGCTGGGTGGGGCCCGGACATGCCGATACTCAAGGCTACCTCTGGGCTGAGAAACACGGGTCTGCTGATGGACACCACCGACAAGCTCTGGGCTTCGTTAGGAACAAAAATGAATGAAGAGCCTCTTAGGCTACCAGTCATCGAAACCACAGCCCCGGGGAGGAAGGCAACGGATAAGTTCTAGAAGCACTGACTGCGTCTTCTATCAGACCAGAGTTTCACCCTAAAAGTCCCAGAACGACAATTTCGTGAGCTCATTGTTCAGGTAACCTCTGCTACCTCAGTGAGCGGCACACCTTCTCGTCTTAATCCAGAAAACGCTGGAATACTCACTCCACTTGCCCAAGGAAACCAAGTATTCGGATAAAAAAGTTTACTCACACAGTCCTAAGACAGATAGATGCCTTTGGTGAGCTTCAGAGAACTGAGTCCTAAGGACCTGCGCAGCTAGGGGCAACCGCCTCTGAGTCCAGGTGACACAGCTCAAAGAAGCCCCCGGCCAGGTAAAGCCTCTCCAGGGATCGCAGCCCTGCCACCCGCAATTCTGCCCTGCTATCTTTTTCTTTCTTGGCTCCCGGCAGGTCCCAGAGCATCCTCCGT